GCATCTGTTAAATCAGACATTATACAAACTCTATCATGCGTTTGTGGGTTGGATCCAGGTTAAACATAGGCCTGTTTATTCATAATGACAGCCTGCCAAGTTTAGCCTGTGTTCTTAAGAGAAAGTGTGGGAAATGCTTAAATGGACACAACATTTATGCAAATTAGGGCTGCTTTGCATCCACATTTCAAGGCTGATTTCTTGGGGGGAAATAGTTCACCTTTCTGGTATATGTTGACTTGCGTAATGAAATGTGGGTTAATGTATTGCTCTTTGCCATTGAAAAAATAATAATCAAATAAAATCCCCCTGAAACCAACACTTCTTAAATGGCAATCCTATATTTGCTTACCTAGGAGCAAGCCCCATTGAACTAACAAGACTTCCTTTTGATGGAGCAGACATATATAGGGCTGCACTGTCAAGCTTAGAGCTTATGTCTCTCTCTCTCTCCCCCTCCCCCCATTAATTACAAAGGAACTTGAGGCAGTACACACATTAAACTTTTTAAAACAAGAAAAAGAAATTTACAATAAATCTGCAATGTTTGTCTGGGGACGCGGGTGGCGCTGTGGGTAAAAGCCTCAGCGCCTAGGGCTTGCCGATCGAAAGGTCGGCGGTTCGAATCCCCGCAGCGGGGTGCGCTCCCGTTGTTCGGTCCCAGCGCCTGCCAACCTAGCAGTTCGAAAGCACTCCCGGGTGCAAGTAGATAAATAGGGACCGCTTACTAGCGGGAAGGTAAACGGTGTTTCCGTGTGCGGCTCTGGCTCGCCAGAGCAGTGATGTCACGCTGGCCACGTGACCCGGAAGTGTCCCCGGACAGCGCTGGCCTCTTGAGTGAGATGGGCGCACAACCCTAGAGTCTGTCAAGACTGGCCCGTACGGGCAAGGGTACCTTTACCTTTTACTGCAATGTTTGTGCATGGGAAATGTAGGTTCTCAGCTAACTAGCATACTGGTAAACATCCCAGCAAGATGGGCTAAAAGATTTCCTCCTCCTTTACGAGTTGTTGGCATCTGTCTGTCTTGGAAGACAATGGAGGAATGTGCCTTTGGGGCTGAAGTCAAACTGTTGGAAGGTTACAACACCTACTGTGGCTGTAAAGAGGGATACAGGAGAGACATGTCTTGTGGCAGATGAAGGTGTCTAGTTGTGCTGCTGCACAGCGTTTCTTCTCTCTGCGCTCTTCCCAGCTGTTATTCCTTCTCTAGTCACTGCCAGGGATGCACAACCTATCTGTCTATCATTTGCAGACATCTTTGTAATGCAGAGATGGTCTGGCAATGGTCCTGGTGCCTGAAGCCAACTCCCCGTAGAGCACGTCCTTAGGGCAGAGCACGCCCTTAGAAGTAAACAAATATACTTACAAACATATTTAGGACACTGTGTGGTGCTGTTGCTGGCTTGTACCACCATGGCCTTTCCAGAGTAGCAAGTTGGTGCTTGCAAGGGCAATTATTGAAGTCATGCAATGTTTTTGCAGAAGTGCAAAGATTGATAAAAGGGAAAACCACGCATTCCAATGCCTAAACATTTCCAGATGAAAAGTAGTCTCCAAGGGCTACACTTTTAATTTTATTTATTTAAATAAGTTGATGTTTTCAAGGACGATGGTTGAAGTCACAATTTTTTTGGAAGTGCAAAAGCTGGTAAGTGTGAAACGCATTCTGTTGCATGGCACTCCAACCTTAGAGTAGTGTGAGATCCCAGGGGTTCCAATTTCCTCAGAATGAGAGACAGCAGAGACTGTGGTGTCTTTATGATATATGGTTTATTTACACATATATACAGCCTGAGCCTACAATGGAGCAGCTCACAGTATTAACACCCCAGAGAAGGTCTCGCTTCTCCCACAGTCACAGCCTTGGATTCAAACAAAAACCATGCATGGCTTTGTCTCTCTCTCTCCTAGGCCACCTCACATACACTCAAGCTCCAATGTTTCCCCAGTGAAAATAGGGATGCCCTAAGGAAAAGAGGGACATTCCAGGATCAAACCAGAAACTGGGACGACTTCTCTAAATCAGGGACGTCCCTGGAAAATAGGGACACTTGGAGGGTCTGTTCACATTGCAGTGATGAAATTAAAGCCATACCAGGACTTCAAGGAACTGTTCCTTGTTTGGTCAAACAGGTAGACTTATTCCAGCCCAGACAAGAGAGCTGGTGGAGGCTGTGGAGCGGGACCACTGAGAGGTATGGCCTGGGGAGAGAGTGTATCACCTGAGGAAAGTCCTGAGGGTCAGACTGAGAGGCACAGAGGGATTAATTACCCCACGACCCAAGACCTGAAGTTCCCCATCCCTGGTCTAGGGAATGGGTGGGCAACCTACAGTCCTATGGCTCTTTTCAAGCAATCAGTCTAGCAAAAGCCACATGTCTTTCACCTGGCAGCCTGCTGGATGGAGGGAAAGAGGGGTGGGGGAGGGATGGCTCTCTCCACCTTGGTCTCTGACTTTAGCCCTCCGCACCACTGGCATATGGGCATCCGTCCCGCACCCCCCCAACACAAATTGCACACATGTATGCACACCTGGGAATGCATCTCTCAACAGGATAAAAAGGTTTCCCCACTGCTGGTCTTGGAAGACTACCTCTTGCCTGCCAATAGTTCATTTATATGGAGCTCAGTGCCTGTTTGCAAAAGTGAGCTGACAGTTTATGCTTGTTGTTGTTTGTTGTTTTTACTTTCTCTCGCACTCTTGCTTTTTAGTTCTTCTACCCTCCTCTCTGCAATTAATCAAATCAATATATTGAGATGGTGGAGCATCGCAGCGAAACAGTACAGTGCCCTCCTACTCTCAGGGGATTCCAGGAGCAGATAATTTTATTAAACTGTTTTCAGAAGGTTATTGGAGTTATGAACAAGAGAAGTGCCAAGATGTGAAAAATGGCCCTGTTTTTCCAATACAGCTTTTCGCTGCTTGCCTGTTTATAAGAACTCTGGGTTTCTGTTCATGCTTAAACACACACACACACACGGCAAAATGCATTGCAGAAGCCCAGAGATTTTGTTTAAAATATAGTCAATCAGCCCCCTAGGGCTGCAATTATTCTTTTTGTGGGATGAAGAAAGCAGGTTGGCTGGCCCAAGACCATCTTGCTACCATCAAGTCAGAGCAGGGATCTGAGCCCAGGTTTCCTATGTCCATCGCCAAAACTACATCTATGTTGCACTTAAAAAACTAAATGATTGTTACCTTTCAGCAGGACTACAAGAAGTGGTAGCATACATACCCTTCACCTTAAAGTCCAGGGGTGGGTTCCACCATTAAAAACAATATTAAAAACATAGTAAATTAAATATTAAAAACAATTTAAAACAATTTGCATGAGGGGTTATAAGAGATAGAGCAAGGGACCTCCAGATTCCCAGGCTATCCCTGTACCTTTGGCCTCTTTGCTGACTTTAAAGGCATCTTTAAAGTTAGACTGGTGCCTCTTAGGTTGTACAACTCCTTACAACTCCCCCCCCCCACTCCTCCTCACACTTCTCTCTCAGACCTCAACTTAAGAGGTCACTTTGGATCCATCCTGGGAGAACGAAGGAGCAAGCATGGCTGCATTTGTCTAAAGCAGATTGTCTGGCCATCTGTTCCAGATGCTTTATCTGAGATCTCCACCCCCACATTGCAGGGGGTTGGACTAGATGACTCTTGGGGTCCCTTCTAGCTCTACGATTCTATGATTCTATTCGGCACAGTTTCAGTATTAACTCTTTCCCCAATACCCGTTTTCTGCTTCCAGCTGCCTTCCAGCTCCCTTCCCCCACCCCTGAGTACTGCGCTAGATACCTTACCTAGCCCTGTATCTCAGGAGAGCAGCTTGTGTTATATTTTGATCAGAAAAGTGACAGGGAGAAAAATGATTAAGCACCTCTTAATCCTCCCTCCACGACTCCTCTATGCCGCCAGCTTAAAAAATTCTTGATTAGGTGAGCCTACCCAGATATTCAATTTTGTTAGATAAATCAGTTGAATATATTATTTAAGAAACAAGAAAATGCACAATAATATAGAGACTAGAAATGTGTCTTTAAGGAAATCAATGAAGAATTTAAACAGAAGATGACAGGAATTCAAATTATCTGTATGATCCAAGGTTATCGACTGCAGATACTGAGCAGCAATTAAGAGACTGGTAAAAGTAGAAAATTATGTTTCTTTTCTTATAAGTGACCACAAGTGTATAACAAACATTATGCACTCCATTTCTACTCCAGTTTGCCCTTAAAACAGCCACGACTTGAATTATATCTATATTTTGATAATATGTCTACTGATTTTAATATCTATTTTTATTGCTATTTTTAAATGAACATTTTAAAATGATTTAAGTGAACTGCTTAGAGATATTCTTTTGATCAAGCTGCATATAAACAAATAAAATAAAATTTGCAGTCTCCAGAGGGTGCTTTTTATCTAGAAATGCTGGGGCATTTATACTGTGAGGAGGGTTTTTTTAGAGGGGGGGAGGGGTGCCTGCATGATGCCTGAGTCCTTTGTAATTCTTGGGGTCTGGGGGATCCAACAGGGGTTAAAACCTAAAGGAGGTCTCCATTGTTGAACTAGCTAGGCAAGCTTCTTCATGAGTTAATGGCCTATGTATGGGTTGTTAGTATAACAAAGGAAGCTGTTCTGTGCTGGAATGGCCCCCTCCCTCACATTATGGTTAGTAAGAAAGACCCTCCAAGTGTCCATATTTTCCAGGGACAGTATCCCTATTTTCATTGGAGAAATGTTGGAGGGTATGGAATTATCCGACTCCTGAGTCGTCTGAAGGCAATGCTCCACAGGGAAGGATTTTTTTAATTTTTAATGTTTTATTATGTTTTAATGTATGTTGGAAGCTGCCCACAGCAGCTGAGGCAACCCAGTAAGATGTGTGGAGTATAAATAGTAAAATTATCATTATGGAATGGGACGTCCCTATTTTCATCGGAGAAATGTTGGAGGGTGTGTGTGAAGACAGATTTAATAACCTTTTTTTAAAAATTAGTAGCAGCAAGGATGGTGACGGCAAAACATTACTGTGCGATGGCACCACCTTCCCTAGAATTATGAAAGAGTAAAGGAAAGTGAGAAGCGAGCATTGCGAAATCAGGACAGTTATGCTGGTTTTGGCGAAATGCAGATTTGCTTTATTAGTTTATATAAATATACAGGCTGGTGTCAGAAGGCTGCCAGCTACCCATGAGTCTTTCAAGACAGGATTGACCTGACATGACTGGATATTTTGTGGGACTAATGGAGCTGCTCTGTGGACTGAAGAAACAGCGTGAAATGTCCAAACAGTTGCTGAAGAAGATGGGCAGGAATGGGAGCTCTATTTCTTGTTCCTTTTGTTGATGTATTGTTGTTATATCTATACATAAAAAAGCAATACAATTTTATATAAAGAAAGAAAGAAACTGAAAGAAATAAGTTTCACATACAAGTAATTACATTTCTGCAGCCAGGTTCCTCTATGTGCTGCTTCAACATTTTGACCATTCTTCCTTTCATTTTGTCTGCCCTGAGCTCTCTTGATCTCCATTGGGCATAGGGAGAATATGCCCCCACCTACCCACCCTAGCTTTTGTTATCATGTGGATAGTGGCAGTGAACAGTCTTGGCTTTTTAATAAACTCCAATATGTGTTTATTCAGTGCTTTTCCAGCCCTTGACAAATGCAATTTCTGAGCTTTCTTGCAGCAGCTAAGAGCACTGTTTCCCCAATTATGAGCATTGCCCTTTCAAGCTTGGCATACTTTGCTGCTGGGCTTTGACCAATTCTAAGCCGCCCTCAGATAAGCAATTTTACAATGCATTTGCTCTATTTATCACATTAGTATCCTGCCATTTGACCAAGGGACACAGGAAGAGATACATGCCATTGACCCACTTCATCCCATGGTACGGTCTGTACACTTTGGAGACGTACGATACAAGTAGCTTTGCCAAAGCTAAGCACATTTGGTCTGCTCAGTGCCTGGATAGGAGAGTACATGGGAAATCCATGAACAGCATTATGACTTCCTTGGTAGAAGGAAAGAAGGGTGTGAATGAATTAAACAATTTTAAATAGTGTTGAGGGTGATTTTGCTCCTACCAGACATTTCTGGGTGTGACCTGGGGGTCTCCTGGGATTCTCTTGCAGCTGTTCCATAATTCTGAGATCTCCTGCATATGCTTGAAAATCCCCAAGATTTTCATTCAGCCTTTATTACTAGATCTGGAGAGTGTTAAGCTGGCTGGCTTGAATTTATCTGGTTGGTGTCCAGATGGGAGATTGCCTGAAGAACATGCTCCGACCACAACGCCTTGAAAGTAGAACTTAGACTAACTCAACCCGGTTCCTTCAGATGGAGAATGAATGACGCCTTACTAAGAGATCAAGAGATTGTGAAAAAGGCCCAAAAAACGTTAAAGGACTACTTTGAGATAAATTTGAATACTACAGTAGAAAAAAGAACGATCTGGGACGCAAGTAAAGCCGTTATGAGAGGGTTTCTGATTCAACAAAACACAATCAAGAAAAAGCTCTGGAATGGAAAGAAGGATAAAATATTGGAGAAGATACATCAAGGAGAGAAAAAACTGAGAACCAAACCAAAGTCAAAGGAGGTGCTGAGAGAAATCAAATTCCATCAAGCACAATATTCTAAACTGATAAATCAAGAGATTGAATGGAAAATCAAACAGATGAAACAAAGATCATTTGAATCAGCAAATAAGTGTGGAAAACTGCTCGCTTGGCAGTTGAAGAAAAGACAGAAGCTAAATACAGTTACAAATCTAGAGATTGAGGGAAAAATGGTGCAGAAACCAGAAGAAATTAGGAAGTGCTTCCACAGATACTTTAAAGAACTCTACGCACAAGGGCCTCAGAAAGAACCTGAGATAGACCAATTTTTAAAGACAAATGGACTATCAAAGATAACCCAAGATAAAAGATCAATCTTGAATTCAACAATAACTCCACAGGAAATCGAAGGAGCCATTCAGAATATGCAACTAGGCAAATCTCCAGGCCCGGATGGACTTACCTCTAAATATTATAAGACTTTGAAGGACTATTTGACACAACCTCTGTTAGAGGTTTGCAACCAGATAATGGAGGGGAAGAAGACACCGGAGTCGTGGAAAGAAGCCTTCATCACATTGATTCCGAAAGTGGAAACGGAAAAGAACCAACTTAAGAACTACCGTCCCATCTCACTCTTAAATGTGGATTACAAAATATTTGCTGACATTCTGGCAAGCAGACTTAAAAAGGTCTTAAATGAAGTAATTCATAAAGATCAAGCTGGCTTTCTCCCTGGTAGACATTTATATGAGAATACCAGGAACATCATTGATATTTTGGAGCTTTTGCAAACTAACAGGAACACAAGGGCGGTGTTAATCTTTATTGATGCGGAGAAAGCATTTGACAACATATCTTGGTTGTTTATGAAGAAAAATTTGGAAGGGATGGGAGTGGGACGGGGGTTTGAAAATGGAATACAAGCAATTTATTCTGAACAGAAAGCTAAACTAATAGTGAATAATGTGGTGTCGGAGGAATTCAAAATTGAAAAAGGGACACGACAGGGGTGCCCTCTATCCCCTCTTTTGTTCATTTCAGTCCTGGAGGTGCTATTGAACATGATAAGGGAGGACCGGAGGGTACAAGGGATAGAGGTCGGAGTGAAACAATACAAACTGAAAGCTTTTGCAGATGACTTAGTTTTGACACTGCAGGAGCCAGAACCCAGTACAAAAAGAGTTCTTGAACTTATATCTGAGTTTGGTCGAGTGGCGGGGTTTAAACTGAATAAACAAAAAACTAAGGTTCTGACTAAGAATTTGACACCTACAGAAACAGAGGGATTTCAGAGAGAAACAGAATTAAATGTGGTCAAAAAAGTGAAATATCTAGGGATTAATTTGTCTTCCAAAAACTTGAATTTATTTAAAGATAACTATGAGAAATGTTGGTTGGAAGTTAAAAAAGATTTAGAAATTTGGTCAAGATTGAAACTGTCCTTGTTGGGAAGAATTGCGGCTATAAAAATGAATGTATTGCCGAAAATGTTGTTTTTGTTTCAAACCTTGCAGATCGTGGACAGAGTGGAATGTTTTGGAAAGTGGCAGAAGGACATATCTAGGTTTGTCTGGCAGGGCAAAAAGCCCCGAATAAAGTTCAAAATACTAACTGACTCAAAAGAAAGAGGGGGATTTGCCCTGCCGGACTTAAGGTTGTACTATGAAGCTGCAGCCTTCTGCTGGTTGAAAGACTGGTTTTTGCTGGAAAATACTGATGTCCTAGATCTGGAGGGTTTTGATAATGCTTTTGGTTGGCATGCATATCTATGGTATGACAAGGCTAAGGCTCATAAATTGTTCAAAAACCACATTGTCAGAAAGGCAATTTTTGCAGTCTGGATGAAGTATAAAGACTTACTAGAGTGCAAAACACCGAGGTGGCTATCACCGGTGGAGGCCAAGGCTCGAAAAAGACTCAATATGGAGGCCTATTGGCCGAAATATTGGGAATTAATAGAAAATATTGGAGACAATTGGAAGCTGCAGAGCCAGGACAAATTAAAAAATAAGGTGCGAGACTGGTTACATTATGCTCAAATTCAAGAGGTTTTTAAAATGGATAAAAAGGTGGGTTTCCAGGTGGAAAAATCGAAACTAGAGACAGAATTGTTAGAACCAAAGACTAAGACTTTATCGAGAATGTATAACTTGCTGCTTAAATGGAATACACAGGATGAGGTAGTTAAATCTGCCATGATAAAATGGGCACAGGATGTTGGACACAACATAATGTTTGAAGACTGGGAAAGGTTATGGAACACCGGAATGAAGTTCACGGCATGTACTGCCTTGAAGGAAAACATTATGAAAATGGTATACCGGTGGTACATGACCCCAGTCAAGCTAGCTAAAATATATCACCTGTCTGACAACAAATGTTGGAAATGTAAGGAGGCAGAAGGGACATTTTTCCATCTCTGGTGGACCTGCCCAAAAGTGAAGGCCTTTTGGGAAATGATACATAATGAATTAAAAAAGGTATTTAGGTATACCTTTTCTAAGAAACCTGAGGCCTTCCTGCTGGGTATGGTGGACCAGAAAATGTTAAAGAAGGATAGAACTTTGTTTATGTATGCAACTACAGCAGCTAGAATACTCATCGCAAAGAACTGGAAGACACAAGATTTACCCACGCTGGAGGATTGGCAGACGCAGTTGATGGACTACATGGAATTAGCTGAGCTGACTGGCAGAATCCGAGATTTGGATGAAGAAATAATCGAGGGAGACTGGAGAAAATTTAAAGACTATTTGCAAAAACATCATAAGCTGTATGAATCTTAAGTCAGTGCATGATTTAGAAATACTATGCTTTGGCAAACAGGATTAAGTAAATGTTAAAATAAGTGATAAAAAAGAAAAGGAGACAATTTAAATTGAACATGTTATGTTTATTTTAAAAGCATTGAAATTAAGATACAATATATTGAATTTGGATGCATAACAAATTGAAAGTTACAATAAGGTATGAAACAAGGTAACAAATTGCTGATATTATTAAACTATAAAGAATGCAGTTCCGGAGGGTGTGGGGAAGTCCAAATATGGAATGGTTTATATACCTTTTTTGGTTTGATCTTTAATTTGTTTTTGAATGTAAAAGAAAAGAAAAATTGTTTCTTGCACTTAATGTTTTTGTGGTGTTTGGATTGTTTGAAGTTATGGAAAGGAACGCAATAAAAAATTTATTAAAAAAAAAAAAAACAGATGGGAGATTGCCTGGGAAACCCTTGAGTTCATGGAAGAAAGGTGGGATTTAAATGTAATAAATCTACACCACCATCCTGCAGAAGTAGGTCAGGTTGAGAAACAATGGCTGGCTCAAGACCTTCCAGCAGCCTTCAAGCCAGAGCAGGAATTTGAGCCCAGGTTTCCCTGGCAAATGGCCAAATCTAAACCTGCTCTCTCACACTTAAAGAACAAAATGATTGTTACCTTCCAACAGGGCTACAAGATGAGGTAGTATAACCTAGTTGGCCTCTCCTGCCCCAGCTAGCTCTGAGCTTTTAGGAAAGTGAGCTATGCTTGCAGCATCTCTTGACTAAGTGACCTAGCAGCAGATGCATTAGAATCATATTCAGGCAGGTGAACTTCCAACAGGTAAAGCAGGTTCAGACTTGGCGCGTAGAGCAGAAATGAGGCTAGACATAGACAAGGCTAATTAGATCCTTGGTGGGGAGTTAGGGAAAGTTTGATTCAGTTCCCATTTAATGATAAACTTACCAAAATTCACACTTTTTTTAAAAAAATGGGAAAAAAGAGACACTGAAAGAAAGTTATACAGCAGAACTTCCCTACCTTCCTGCTGAAATCCTGAAACATTTTATGCCGCAAATGTTCTGAGGTGTGCAAGAGTACCTTTCCAAACTGCAATAATGTAGAAAAACATAGGAGAATAATTAATAAAGCAGAACAACATGTGGACAGTCCAGAATAAACCCACCACTGATGCACTATTATTGCATCAGTGACACTTTGCAGAATAAGTAAAGGTAAAGGTACCCCTGCCCGTACGGGCCAGTCGTGTCCGACTCTAGGGTTGTGCACCCATCTCACTTAAGAGGCCAGGGGCCAGCGCTGTCCGAAGACGTGGCCAGCGTGACAAGCTGCATCTGGTGAGCCAGCGCAGCACACGGAAACGCCGTTTACCTTCCCGCTAGTAAGCGGTCCCTATTTATCTACTTGCACCTGGGGGTGCTTTCGAACTGCTAGGTTGGCAGGCACTGGGACCGAGCAATGGGAGCGCACCCCGCCGCAGGGATTCGAACCGCCGACCTGATGATCGGCAAGTCCTAGGCGCTGAGGTTTTACCCACAGCGCCACCCGCGTCCCACTTTGCAGAATACACCCATGGAAATACAGAAGTCTAGAAGGGCCCCTGCTGTGGGAGCAGTGGGCTTTGGCTATCTGTTGGAATTTCAAGCTGTGTCTCTCTCCATCAAAGCTTAAGCTGTATATTTGTTCACATACGCAAACATCACAAAGAGACAATAAGCCTCCAGTGATCTCCTTCCACAGGAAACCTAACTTCATCAGGTGACAACTCCTGGAATTTTTCACTGCTTGTGGTGCTTGTGGTATTGTGCAAACAATATTCTGTTTGTAAAACTGCTCTGTTAACACTGCAATTTTGTGACTGCTTTACTAGCAAGGAAAGTGTGTGTGCGTGCACACACACACACACACACACACACTCCACCTACATCCTTCTCCTTGAGAACAAAGAGGGAGAACCAAACAGAGGAGATAAAAGGTGGAGTAGATAACAGCCAGGACAGATGGGAGGAGCGACGCTAGCCGTTTCAAAATGGAAAGAAGGAATGGGGTCCTGTCTGATGTTTGGATCATAAACCCTTCCCAGCAGCCTTTTGAATGGGGACTGAAAGAACTCAAGAATGCCCACCAAAGCCAAGACTGTACTTGAATTCCTCTGATCTCACCTGAGCATCAAATTCAAGAGGGATGCTGACAAACTGAAAAGGATGCTAAGAAGATGATAAGGGATCTACAAAACTAAATCCAATGAGAAAGGGCTAAAGAAGCTGGATAAGATTGTCCTTCAGACTGAAACTCAGCTGTCATTCTCTGAGTTTTTTTGCTTCTTCTTTTAAACACAGTGGAAGAAGACTTCAAAAGACATGGAAGTACTTGCTTCAGCCTCGCAAACCAAAGAGGGGATGAGGCTGGCTAATCAGTGCTAACCCTCCCCACTTAAGATGCAGGACAAGGCTGTAGAAATATACAATTCTTCTCAAAATATCTAATAGGTAAAATATATATCCAAAATAAGGGGAACACAGACACATAGCCATAGGGCTTCTTTGGCTGTAATCATGCTGGAGACTGCCAGCATAAGAGAACAAGGGAGACGTTCATGGTGAGTTCTGGCACCGCTTTTTCTAGAAAAACAGCACTGCATGGCACCCATTCTAAATATGGCATAAAAGGCATGGCAACCCATGCTCTATGCTAATCTCTTACAAACAATAGTAAAACTTGAAAGCCATTCAAAAGGTGGCTTTTGTCAGTTATCCTTGTGATTACGCAGAAGATGTAAGATGATAATAAAGGCCTGGAGTTATTCACTCCCCCACATTTCCCCTCCACTACGGAACTGCCAATATTCCTTCCAAGAGAAATAAGGAGACAGACATACACACTCATTGCAGATGTCCTTCAATAGTTCAAAAGCAACTCTCACTGCAAGATGCTCATGCAAGAGAACTATCTGTTTCCTTGTCAACAAGCTCATTCCTTCCACCCCCATGAAGCATGGTCAGCTACTCCTTCCCATGCCTCAGTATCCTCAATTTAATAAGAAGTCCACATAACATCTTCAAAAGGTATGGCATCCCTGGGGGAATTAAAATTCATCCCATTGCTGACAACACAAGAGACAGCAGGTTTAATCAAGACTGGGGATTTCTGGGTCACTACAACTAGCTTTGGAACTCAACATGTAAATGCAAAATGCTTTGCAAAATGTCCATTAGCTGCAAAGTCAACATTTTCAGCCATGCACCTGTAATGTAGCTGGGCAAACATCCCATTATCAATGGAACAGATGTTTTCCGCTTTGTAAATTGGCCTATTATCAGCATGGTAAAGAGGTTCAGTCACTGCTCACTCAATAATTCTGCTGCGTTTCCAGTCAGCCCCTAAGAACTATGTCTGAGGACTTCATGGGGGACTCATATAGTCAGGTGCATAGAACAAATCTGTGGGGGGGAAAGAAGGCAAGAAAAGGAAATAAAGGACCCTTACTAGTGACCAGAGCTGTATCAAAGTATAACATATTGGTTAGGTTTTTATTGAAGGTGCTATAAGAGAACTGCACTGACATCATTGTCAATATGTGCTTGTAATGCCCTGCCAGTTGGAAGTTGCAACAATGAAGACATTAGCAGGCTCACATGCTGCTTTGTTCAAAACAAAACAGAAACCAAGCATAATAACTTATCATAGGAAATGGTGGAGCAAATCAGAGCATTCCATGGCAGACTTCAGGGCACTGGAAAACCCCAACTTCATGCATTAATGTAAACTTAATGAATATATCTGACATTGCTATCCTAAAACATAGTTTAGAATTATGCAAAGTTTGGAAGCTTTTGCTTCCACTTTTTATTTGCCTCACCTTGTCATGTAATTTAAACAAGCTGGACAAAATGTGGTTGATCTTAATGATGGTTGGCGGAAACAAGCCAATTTCAAATCACAATTTGCAAAGTTTTCCTGCTTTACATTAACCATAGCTAAGATAAACTTCAGTTTATCTCTTCCAAAGGAAGATTTCCTTTTCTATGTTTTTATACTTGCATCAAATAATATTTTTTTAAAAAATTGTAATGCATGTGTATTAAAATTATTCATTGAAAGTTTTGTCAGAAATTGGTGCAGGGCCTAAGCAAATTCATTGCTCACTATTAGGTTTTACAGCAGCAAAAAGTGGCTTGTTAATCTTTCCAATTTTCCTTTCACCAAAGTCAGCAGTTGAACCATAGGTTCCAGCAGGTTGATGCTCAGTGAAAAGAGGGCCCCTTTGTTCCTAGACATTTCAGGAAGGAAACCTCACATGAACATGTTGCAAATTGGCCAAGATTCAAGTTAATGGAGGATATCAAATACAGGTCTCCAACCTTGCAGCAACAGGCCAGAGGACACTCAGCTGACCTAGTTTTCAATTCTGTGCCTGGCAGCTTCCTCTTGGGTACAAAATTGTATTTGTGGTAAATTTGCTGCGCCTCCCTGCTGATGCTTTTAGGCACTCAAAGGCAGCTCAGAGGCTGCTGGATGTTATAGAAGTGACTAAGGAGTTAATTTTTCTCAAGACTAAGTGATGGAACTAGAATCTGGGACCCAGAAACAGCATGTTCAATTAAGCAGACTCAACCCCCACCCCTCCAGAGAATTCTGTGGTGCCATCTGCTAAAGCAGGCAGAAACACACTGGCATGCTTCTAGAGTTGCTGGTTCAAATCCCCACCCCTTTCACAACAAAACATGAGGGAAGGGTTGTAGTGCAGTAGCAGAGCACATTCTTTGCATGCAAAATGTCCAGGCAGGACTGGAAAGGTCTCCTGCCTGAGACCTTGGAGAGCAGCTGCCAGCGGTAGCCAGCTGTCAGGGACCGCCTGGATGAAGAGGAGTAGTGGGAGGCTGAAGAACACCCTAGGGAAGCAGCAGAGGTGGAAGGCTCACAGCCAGGATCAGGGTGCACTGGCGGAGGAAGAGGGGTGCCATCGCAGCTCCTCCCCCGCGCTGGGTATCATGGCCCCACAGATGGCATGCTACACCCACAAGACACGCATCACGTCCCTGCGGGCAGCACACCACACCCCCAGGATGCACACCTGCCTGCTCTCCACTCGCCGGTGCTGGAGCATGAAGGTCCGCCACTGTCAGGGTGGTGGGATTCTGAAGACAGGTCAGAGGAAGAGGAAGGCTGGGAGGCGGAAGAGGTGACAGGCTCAAAGGAAAGAGAAGAGGCAGAGGCAGAAAGCCCTTCTAGGGCAGCACAGAGTGCAGAGGGAGACCTGAAAGAGAGGAGATGGGGACAGAAGCTGCAACAGCTTTGCAGCAGCAGCCTGGTCCCACTGTAGTAAGCTGCCCTCTCCATTTGACTCCAAGGTCCCACAGGACTTTGCATGTAGCTGAACAGAAAACTCAAGAAGCCTATTGGGGGGGTGCTCCCCACCAGAGTTTATTATAGCTTGGGAGACATCAGGAGGAGGAGGAAGCAGGGGCCCCCAAGAGCAAGTTGGCGACGTCAAAACTGAGTGCAGCCATGCCTGTGCACTCGCTGCTTGTATACTGTTTTCTTGAATGAAACGCTGGCTTTCCTTTGAGGCTCTGAGGCTCCATTCTGCCCTGCCCTGACATCAGAGGGCACAATTTCATTAAGTGCCCACCCTGCATATCCAGCAGTAATATGAGCAATGGCTGTGCAGCAAGTATGATTTCTGGAGTGGCGGGGGGCACCTCCTACTTGCCCAACTCATATATTTCTGGAAGAAGCAATGTGTAAGTGAGAACTACAGCAAAATGTGGTGGTGTGGAGGAGCGCTCATGTTCAGAATTCCAGGCCGACAGCCATGCTCTTTTTCGGGACATTCCATTCCACCATCACCACTATCAGTTTTCCATTTCCTTCCCCCAAGGTGCATCATTCAATGCCTACCAAGCATGCTTGGTTCTCATCCAGCTGTTTTGGTCCCCACCCCACCCCACTGGGACTCCTCGAGCGCAAATATTTTGTGAGTGGTATGTGTCCAAACCATGGTGTTCCTCATAGCCTGCTGCTATGGATGTATCACGGATGGTGCCATTTTGATTACATAAGGGGTGCATTCAGACGTAGCAATCTAG